TGAAAGGCATATAGCACGTGCGGAAAGATCTTTGAACCTTAAGTTGAAATACTTTAGGACTGACAATGGACGAGAATATGATAATGATCAATTCAGGTCATATTGTAATAAAAATGGTGTAAAGCACGAATTTACAGATGTATATACTCCAGAACAGAATGGAGTTTGTGAGAGATTTAATCAGACAGCTCTCAACAATGTACGTGCAATCTTACACGATAGTGGAATGAGTTCCGAATTTTGGTCAGATGCAGTAATGTATTTTGCATATTCATTTAATAGAATTTGTCATAAGGGCCAAGATAGAACCCCATTCGAATTATACACTAAGCGGAAACCATCAGTACGTCACTTAAGGCATTTGGAACGATTGCCTATGTGGGAATTCCAAAGGCTAAAAGAAATTCTAAGCTTGATCCAAAGGCAACGAAGGGCCGATTGATTGGGTACAGTGTACGAACAAAAGGGTACAAGATTTGGTTGGAAAATGAGCAAAAGGTAGTAGAAACCTTAAATGCTACTTTCAAAGAGTCAATTGGAATGCAGAAAAGTGGCAGTGGAGCTGCACTGGGCACCCTTCCTGATTTGGAATCTGAAGAGAAGGGTAGAGTTCCAATCTACTGATACTCCAGTTGGCTATTTTCCTGAAATAGAGGAAAGAACCGATACCAATGTACCTTCTTCTACAATTGGCACTGACACTCAATCTACATTGAGACAAGTAACTTGGCTTCGTAAACCTGTTCCAAGGCCAGACGGCACTCGTACGGATGTGTATTATTTTGAGAGGGGGTCTAATCAAAGACTACGATCACCAAATGATGTAGAAAGGTATTGCACTGAACATAATATTCAGTATGATCCTACCTTGTTTGATTTCAAGGGAAGCAATACTTATAGTGGTGAAATCGACCCAACTGGCACTCCTTCACCTTCAACGTCATATACCCGAGATAGCTGACTAGAGGTTTCAATTCCAAACACTTATAACCAGGCAATGAAATCCACAGAAAAGCTTAAATGGATAGAGGCAATGGAAGAGGAAATGGCCAACATGCGAAAGCATAAGGTATGGCATCTTGTTCCACTTCCTAAAGACAAGACTCCACTAGGTTGCAGGTGGATTTTCAACATTAAACGTGACGAATTTGGAAACATTGTTCGTTTAAAAAGCTCGTTTAGTGGCTCAGGGTTATCGGCAAATTAAATACGATACCTATGATGAAACCTACTCTCCTGTAGTCAACTTTTCAGTAATAAGGCTCTTTTTCTCCCTTTTAGTTGCACACCTTGGATGGGCAAATATACAATGTGCGACGTAAAAAGTGCCTATCTCTACGCTCCTTTATCAGAGGAAATTTACATGTCCCAACCTCAGGGTTTTGTAGAGAGCGAGATAAAGAAACTTTTGTGTGTCGTTTTAGATAGAGCCTTGTATGGTTTGCATCAGAGTGGGCGATTATGGTACTACGAGTTGGATAGAACACTATGTAACCTAGGGTTTATCAAGTTTGAGTGGTGTAATTGTGTCTATCGTTTTAAAGATTTTGTCATTCTGTTGGTTTATGTTGATGATATAGTTGTGTTTGGAAAAAGTGAAGTTCAGGCCAAAAGGATATTAAAAGTCCTGAGTTCACATTTTGATTTGAAAATTTTAGGTAAAACAAGAAAGCTTTTGGGTGTGGAATTTGAATATGAGAACAATAGTGTTTTAATTCATCAGCAATTATATATAGAAGACATAGTTGATCGATTCAAGTCTTTTAAAATACAAATTACTTCCCTTCCAATAGTTAAAGGTGTGAAATACTCAAAGTCTCAAAGTCCCAGTACACAAGAAGAAACGACTGAAATGATGAATTATCCTTATAGAAATGTTTTTGGGATGTCTCTCGTGTCATTGTAATCATACTCGTCCGTATATAACTTATGCTATTAATATATTTTCTCAGTTCCAACGCAATCCTGGTAAGTTTAACTGGGAAGGATTACTTAAACTTTTAGGGTAACGTTTCCAATACCAGACAGCACAAACTTAAACTGGTATGCAAGGAACTGAAGCTCAATATATATTCAGATTCGGATTTTGCTTCAAGCAGGGATGATATGGTGTCTATTGGTGGACAAATAGCTTTGTTGGGAGAATCACCTGTATCTTGGCGTACATTTAAAGAAAGGGGAGTGAGTTTGTCTACTATGGAGGCTGAATTTATCTCCATGACTGAATCAGCAAAAGAATTAGTTTGGTTTAAAAACATTTTGGATGAATGCATTCAGTTTAAGATTGCAAGTAACTATGTTTCGAAACCAATATTGTTTGCTGATAACATGGCTGCTATATGTTTTACAAAATCACCCATTGAAAACTCAAGGACAAAACATATAGATGTAAAACTATTTTCATTCGTGATCTATTGAACAGGGAAATTTTTATTTAAAATATGTTCCAAGTAAAGATAATCTGGCTGATCCCATGACAAAACCGCTGACTAAGCATAACCTGATAAGATTTTGTAGAACAATTTTCTTATGAAACTTGTTTTTGTGTGTATTTAAATTAAGAGTTTTGTTTAGAAATAATATGTTATAAATCATATTATGATGAATATTAGGTAAATGTAAAACTGTATAGTGTAGAATGTTGTATGATTGACCAGGGCCCTGGATAAAAGTATTGAGTGTATGATCATACATATGTCTTTGTATTGTTTTGTAACATGTTGGACTTTCTTGTTATGGTAAAATTTTGAATAATGGGATAATGTTCCCAAAGGAAAATTTTCTTAAAAATTTCTTGAATGAAATTGTGATATTTATTTATTCTTGTTTTGAATTTTGTAAAGATACTGGCATTCAGTTTTATTTCAGGTCGGAGATGATGATGTGGGGGGCATTTGTTGGAAAATATGACTTATTGTAAAACCTTTTACTGCATCATCTCTCCTCCTTGAAATGTTTATTAGTTAGTTCTTATTTTTAATGTAATATAGTAGTTACTTCTACTTCTTTTTCTTACTGCCACTGTTTGTGTTGAGAACGAACTGTTTCAACCTAATTAAGATGCAAAAACGAAACGTGATGTTACGTCATCTGGAAAGCCGACTCGTGCCGATAGCTGATTGGTTGCCGTGAGATGACGTCATGCCTACTTCTGGTATAAGTATCTCGCGTCGCTCTGGCTCAGCCCTTCTAGTTCCTGCTTTCCTGGCTCTTGGGTGTGCGGATTCCAGCCCCTTTTGAAGGATGCGTGCAGTCCGGTGAATAAGTTCCTTGGTTTCTGTCCACAAGATGACTACTCCTGAATAAGTTCCTTGGTTCCTGTATACAAGATGACCTTTCCAGAATAAGTTCCTTGGTTACAGAGGCTACAATGTGAGTGACTGCCATGGGCGGCATCCATGTTCTTCATGAAGGCGGCATTTAAATAAGTTAGCGGCGATTCCTCGTGTTCAACTACTGTGAACGGATTTAAGTGCCTTCAAGGACTTAATTTATATTTCAGGTGCTTTCTTGACCATTGAGCATGGACTGATCGAATGTGTAGCCAATTTCATTTGAGACTGCATAATTTCTGTTTAGGTTTTTTTTTCGTATTGAATGCCAGTATTTTTGGAAACCAGGTAAAATATTATTTGATGAATGAAAGTTTGAAAATGATGGTTATATGATATTTTTTCTAAGACTCTGATATTGTTTAAATCTATTCTTTTTTTTTTTTTTTTTTTTTTTTTTAAATATTCTTAATAAATTGGTTAAGTTTGAAATCTCTTTATTGCCTTCAATGTCTGCACAACATATAATCTCAGGGAGCTTTTATTGATACTACTATATGCTAAATGTTTAATTTTATAAACTTTAAACTTTGCTTTAGCATCAGCAAGTACACTTACAACAAAAATTAAAGATATACATGCCCAACAAAGAACAACAAATTCAAAATTACGATGAGCCATAAAGATCTCCAAAAAATATGCAAATGTGAAATATGCTATTTGGACACTCGTAAGAGAAGATTAAGCTAATATGAGTGCAAAACGTGTCACCCTGCAACCTGCCTCTCATATGCTGTTTTCATGTGTCCTCCGTGCTATAAGGGAGAAGTAGAAGGACAGATATCTCCTAATGAATCAGATGAACGACAGATTACACTTATGTTCTAGTTTTAATTAAATTTAAATCTATAATTAGCCTTGCACAACTTTTAAAAGTTATTTTACAAAATTTGTTAAATATAAAAAGTTTCTTTGTAAGACTAAATTGTTTTATTGTCCGTTAAGTATTTTTATAACTTGTGGAAGTTTAATAATTATAGCATTTGATTTTGTAAGAAAACACTTTTTATATATAAAAAATTTTAGTAAATAAAGAAGTACCTCTCAAGCTCTATGCACCCGAACGAGTTCCGAAACACATAGCGCCTGATGGGCATGTTAATACAATTTTTCTTTCATTGGCAAACTAACCATAATCAGATTATGACATAAAATACACATTAAAAAATGAAGAAAATAAAAACTGTATTTGTATAAAATATACAAAAACTCTTAAAAGCAAATGTCCAGCCATTTCGAAAAAAGAAATTCAAGTTTTATTTTTAATTACATATGAAAACAAATGCACAAAGTTCATCAAATTCAATTCAAACAGGAAAATATACGTCTGTTTTAAAAATACTCTTAAGAATTTCTTGATTTACTGTGCCAGAAAAAAGAATTTATATGGAAGTCAAAATAAGAAGAGTGTATAAAATTTAAGCAAACTTAAAAGTATGAAAATTAGGAAAATACTATTGTATCCTCATCTGGTGAAATTGATAAAATATCTGGATATTAAATTTAAAAAAACAAAAAAATTGGAGGCAGGGGGAAAAGAGAAAAAGTTAGTTTTGCCTATATAATATGTAGATCTATAAAGTTTAATACAATTTTTCATTAACAAATTAAACATAATAGATTACGAACATAGAATACGCATTAAGAAATGAATTAAATAAAAATGCATTCATGTAAATTATATTAAAAAAATTTCTTAGAAGTAAATTTTAAGTTACTAAAAAATTGTGAAAAAATATAGCTTACTTTACCCGGGAAAAAACAGCAATAGTTTCTTTTAATTGGCTTCCCAAATGTCGTATTTAGTAATGACAGCCTCATTAATAATGTTTCAACTATATCACTTTGTCGAGCTAATGGATGTTTTCGCCGAGAAGATTCTCTTCTAGGCATTTGGGCTTTAATACTTTTGAACTTTCGGTCCACAGCATTTTGTATACGGTTAAATTCAGAGTTCAACAAGGATGAGCTTACACGGTTAAAGTATCGTGATACCTTGAAAAAAAATTGTTTAAAGTATCATGACATAAAGAATTTGAATTTTGTAAGTACATATGTATTATCACACTGACTAAGAATGTTAAGCAGCTGGATTTAGCACCAATTACGGATAAGTATGATGTAACATCAACATACTCATAACATCTGGAACAATCACTACACTAAGTTTGTGCTCATTCTAAACAGGATGGCCTAACAAAATAACAGAAATTACCAAAAGTTTTTTAATAAAGTGCAAAAAAACAAAATGTGTCCTTTATTGATTGTTTATTAAATAAATAGCATAATTTCCTTCAGAATTCTGCAGGAATAACTAGTTCAACTTTAGTTGGACTTTCACTAACCTAAACGGTTCGATAGTAGCTAACTTTCGCAATTGTTGGTAAGCAACTTTCATAGTTATTTCACATAATATAAAAGTATCTTTTCCTACAATTAATATTATACTTCAGTACTTTCTCATCAATAGGGTGCCATTTAGTTCCAAACAAAAATGTTCGCACAAAGTCTAACTAAATGTCAGAAACCCTCATGATACACACAGCTTCATCAAAAATACAGTCAAAAGTCTTTAATCCGGACTCGTCGGGACTTCGGCGATTCCGGATTATCGATTTTTCCGGATTATAGATCATCAGTTTAAATCTGGTAAGATGGCATGCAGAAATTATAAAATTAAAAATATGAAACCGTAATTTATAAAATAATGAGCAATTATGATCTAAAGGGTATCAAAATTTACAAAAAAAGAAACTTAATATTTATTTGTTTACTTTATTAAACATTTCTTTCAACGCGCGCATGCGTAAAGCATACCTTACGCATAGCCAAAATTAGAAAACTGCAACCAGAAAACTATTTGATGTGTATTCGTGATATTTATAATGATGAGGAATTTGATTTAAATCATACCAAAGATGGAGTACATCGAGATAAAATACTACATTTAGTAAGGAATTATAAGGCGAATAAAATAAAAACATCTGCCATGAAGATAACGATAGTGCTGACAAATCAACTTCCAGTTCATTGCGCGGCGCAACGTCCCCCCCCCCGCACAGAGCAGCGTGAAATTGATAAACAGATTTCGGAACGGTTAGATAAACAAAGGATATGGCTTTATCCAATTTTTTGTAGCAATTCGTTTTTTGTTTGACGGACATCGAAACATACTTTCGTTTTCTAGATCCTTTGGGAGCTCCAGCATCGGAAATTCTATTTGACATAATCGAAAGTTCAAGCTTACTTTTATAAAATTGCTCTAACAGTCTGCAAAAAATAATAAGCCGGATCCAATTCGAAGATTAAGGAACAACGCAATCATCAACATTAACTGAAATAGACAATTAGAGCTTATACCGTCCGTTATATATTAAACACGCACGCGAAAACGTATTCTGTGCTTGCGCAAATGCATATGCACAGTCGTAAATGTCTTGCGCGCATGAGTAAAACGCCTATGCGCATGCACAGAAAGATTTTAGCTTTGAGGTCCGGATTATAGATCATTCTGGATTATGGGTGTCCGAATTAACGACTTTTGACTGTATAATTAATATATAGTATATAATATATCTAATATATATAAATATAATTAATTATATACTTCAGTATTTTCCTATTAACAAGGTGCCATTTTGTGTCAAGAATAAATATTGACCAGAAATCTAAACTAATACCTAACTAAATGGCATCAACCCTTATGATACATAGAGGCTTCATGAAAAGAATAATGGTCAGAGTAAACTGAAGGGTGCCCCCTGTATTGTCGTGAAGTTGTTTCACTTATGGTAACCTGAGCAGTTGAATGCTATGGAATTCCTATTATGACATAACTCGTTACATGCTTGCAGTGAATTTGAATAATGGGAAAAAATTAAGGGCTTGTTTGTGTGTTAGATGTTGCTTAGGACGTACGGTGGTTATTTTGTGGTTTACACGGTAAAATGGCTGAATGTGGTGAGATTAATTTGAAGTTTCTGTATGATTTGGAATGAAAGGGAAAAAAAGCACTGACTGACATGTAAATGAAGTTTTACTTAGTAGGCAAAGTAAGTGTCCTGTTTGTTGGAAAGAAATGCGTATGGTCGAACGTCCGATGATACCGGCACTACGAAGGATTCTTTTACTCTTATTTTTGTGAATTTATGTGGCGACGCCAGTATACACATTCTAGTGCATATAATTTTAAGAAATTTTTGGATGCTGTTAAGGAATTTTGTTTGACTGAAGACTCGGAAATTTATAAATAAGGTAAGTGGATATTTCCTTTATGTAATACTAAGATGAATTTCCTTTGTTGTTACTTCATTGTTTGATTTAAAATGTAGTTTGTTGAGATTATACAGTACAAAGTCTAAGAAAAGGTCATGGTGAACTTCTCTGAGATAATAACTGCCTGAAGGGAAAATGGTGATGAACATGTTAGATATTGCTTCACGCTTTCTTTGGTTGTTTTTTCTGAGTCTGTATCTTAACAAAAATATTAGGAGCCATAATGAACACAGAATGGCTTTTAAAGTTGAAAATCCCCATAACTTTAAGTTTTATAAGTGGCTATATATACTTTTATTTTTATCAAGCCTGTTATCTGAATCCAATAATACACTTTTAACTGCATTTTTTACAGCTACATTTGTAAGAATTAAACATAATACATTAACTTTAAATTTCATAAGTAGCTATATTTCATTTTGATCAAACCAATTATCTAAACCCAATAATAGACTTTTAGAACTACATTATTATTATAAGATTTAAACAAAATACAGTACAAAGTCCATAATCCGGACTCATCGGACTTCGGCGATTCCGGATTATAGATAATCAATTTAAATCTGGTAAGATGGCATGCAAAAATTATACAATTAAAAAATGAAACCGTAATTTATGAAATAAAGAGCAGATATGATCTAAAGGTATCAAAACAAAATTCACACACACAAAAAAAAAAAAAAAAAAAAAACTTAATATTTATTTGTTTACTTTAGTAAACATTTCTTTCAATGTAAGTTGTTTAAGTTGCTTCATTTTTTGTGCTAATACTTTCTCTCTAATTCTATAAACAGACATAATTTTTTTTGTTCAGTTCCAAAGTTCCACTGTTCAAGTCCTGCTATTGCTGTGTCCAGAATACCGACTAACTTGTCAACCGAAATTTTTTCATTTTCAATAACTTCTCTGTCACTTTCTTCACTATCAGAAGCAGTATTTTCTGGATCTAGAACTATACTACAGATATCGCCGACCATTAATTGATTGATGATTGGGGCTTTGTCGTCACAATGAAAAACTTCTGTTACATCACCTTCATTTATTACCGCTTCTCCACATTTCTTTACAGAATCCAATAATTGGAAAATTTCACCTTTAGTTTGTGAGCCTAGCTTATACCATTCATTATACTTTAAACGCGCATGCGTAAAGCATAAAACAAAATTTAAAAAAAAGTTTGTGGCTTTGATGTCCGGTTTACAGATCATTCTGGATAATGGACATCTGGATTATAGATGTTGTACTGTATATAAATAAATGGGAGAAAACTGAAAAGCTCACATGAATAAAATCTACTGTCTCATTGAAAAATCATAACATTATTGTTAATACAGTACAAAGTCCACAATCCGGACTCATCGGGACTTCCGTGATTTCGGTTTATGGATTTTTCTGGATTATAGATCATCAATTTAAATCTGGAAAGATGGCATGCAGAAATTATACAATTAAAAATATGAAACCGTAATTAATGAAATAAAGAGCAATTATGACCTAAAGGGTATCAATATATATATATATTATATAGCTTAATATTTGTTTACATTAGTAAACATTTCTATCAATGCAAGTTGTTTAAGTTGCTTCGTTTTTTGTGCTAATACTTTCTATAAACAGACATGATTTCTTGTTCAGTTACAAAGTTCCACTGTCCAAGTCCTGTAATTACTGTGTCAAGAATACCAACTAACTTGTCAATCGAAATTTTTCGGTTTCAGTAACGTTCTCTGCTACTTTCTTCACTATCGGAAGCGCGCATGGGTAAACGCTTTACTGGCTTTACGCGCATGCGTAAGTTTGTGGCTTTGAGGTCCGGATTATAGATCATTCCGGATTAGAGACTTTGTACTGTATATTTTTTGTTGGCTGCTCCTTTGACTTTTTAAGTGAATACGGATTGATGTGTGCAAAGCCTAGTTTGTGCAATTCTAATTTTTTTTTTTAAAGTGAAAATAGGTAGATGTGTACATGGATACCGAATTTGTGCAATTCTTTGACTTGTTATTTTGGATTTGTGTATCAGTGATTTTTGCCACAAAGCCAAAATAACAAGTCAAAGAATTGCACAAACTCGGTGTTGATGCATCATCAAGAATCGCCAATTATTGCCAAGGGGCACCTGTAATACAGTATTTTTACCAGAATAACTACAGTACGACTCCAATTATCTGAATCGCTTTCAGAATTTTTCAGAATCAACTGAAGAAGAGAAGGAAAAGGAAAAAGATGCTCAAGAAAATGAAAGGGAAGAGACAGAAGAAGATGAAGATGGCGTGCAACATGAAGAATTAAAAAACATTCTTTTGAAAATTTATGGATGCTCAGAAGTTAGTGCTGAGGATACAGAAGAATGGATGATGTGTGATTTGTTAGACCCTAGATTTCAAATTCTAAATGATGATGAACTTATTGAAAGTGTGAGAGAAGAAAGTGTTGAAGATGACCTTAATGTTGAAATTGAAGCAGACATGGGATCATCAGCTAGTGAAGCGTTTGCTTGCCCGGAAACTGTGTTGAAGTGGATGGAGTGTCAGCCCAAGTTTGATGACATGCAACTTCTCATTGACAAGCAGATGGGTGATTTAGATGCCTGAAAACGGACAAGACAGTCAGACTGTTTACTTTGACCGAGATGTCCAGCAAGCAATGACTTTCAGCACTTAAAAGTACTGTACAGTATGTTATATAACATCTACGCAAAAGTGTTGCCTTTTCATTTTAATTAATTAAAACCTCTTTTTGTTTAAAAAATAGTTTTTTCCTCCCATTTCAACATACAGTAATTAATTAAATTGTACCTAGACGCTTATTTTGGAAAAAATCCAATTATCCGAATGGAGTCCGGTCCCAACAGATTTGGATAATTGGAGTTCTACTGTATTTTAGCAAATCCAGAATAAATAAATTAAAGAAAAATACAAAAACAGAAAATGACTTAATGTGTGTAATGCTGAATTTGCATACTTTTCTAGTGTTTTGGCTTGAAAATATATTAGAATATTACACTAGTTTGGCATTGCACACATTAAACAATTGGTTATCACATCTGCTGATGGGTGCCTTAACCACAGAAAAGCACTAACACGTTATAAGCAACTGACTGAGCTTAAGTGTACAATTACAACATTATAATGATGAATATTTGTTCCCTTAACATTTCTAAAAAGACGATCCAGCTTATAACAGGAAAAAAGAAAATGTAAATTATATAATGTAAATTTTTAACTTAAGAGAAATTTCATGAAAAAAGATTTAAAATAAAAAACATTGCACAATGTAATTTTTTAAAATTATTCATTACAAACAGATTAAATATATATATCTATATATCTTACAAAAAGAAAATGAATGTTCTTTAGATAATTTTTTTACAGTAAGTTGATTTTTCATTTTCTTCTTTCTGCGATGATACAGATTTTCTAACTACCTACGAAATATAAGGATCACTTACCATCCTAAATTTAGCAATCTCACTAAAAGAAAAAAATCTTAGAATGTACTCAATTATTTCAGATGGTAAATCTGTAATCCCAAGAACTCCAGAACGCTCTAATGACTTTTCATTTGATTCAAAGCTCGATGTAGAACTATTCATATTTTTCTGTTGCTGAGTAGACATATGTTGCCAACCGGACTGAATTGTATTTTCATTTACTTCATGATCGAGATCCATTTCTGCAAGAAAAGAAAAATGATACACACATTTCTAAAAAAAAACAAACAAAAAAAAAAAAAAAAAAAAAATAAAAAAGAAATAAAAAAAAAAAAAATAAAATAAAAAAAAATAAAAATAAATAAAAAAATAAATAACATAAAAATAAATAATAAAAAATAAAAAAAAATTTCATACTTTTAAAATTTTTTAAAAGGACTTGAAAATTAACTCCTGTGCTATTGCTATTAAGATTAAGATTTTAATTTTAATAGGGAATATTATTATCTGTTAGAATATGAAGAAAATTTAGATATTATATCAAAATTAATATGTAATTAATAAACTGGAATTTGTAATTTATTAATGCTAAATTAAAAAATAAATTTTTTTAAAAAAGTAATTTTAAACATTGAAATCATGTTGATTCTACCAATTTCAGTGAATCAGAAGCCCTTACAATTCATGGGATTGTATTTCAATTTTTTGCATTTCTGAACAAAAATTTTTATTCTAAATATAATCTGCCAAAAATTTTTGTTTGCATTGAAATGATTTAAAAAAATTTTTATTTTATATTATATATATATTTTACATTTTTGAAATAATTTAAAGAAATTAAAATATTATATGGTATAGATCCAAATGAGTTGTTGGTGATTGTATAGATTTCCCTTGAATTCCATTTCCCCTTGAAAATTCAAGATCTTTCTGTGGAATCCACAATGATTTTAACTGTTTAAATGCACTTTTTAAAATTTTTATTGATTGAGCATTTAATAAATTTAAAATTACAATTCAATTAGTTACATATTCCAATTTTGATTTACTACTATCTAAATTTTCTTCACATTTCCTAGGAGGTAACCTAATCATATGTATATTCTCTCTCTATATATAAATATATTAAAAAAAATTATATCTGTAAATCTTTACATACAGCAAATTAAAATAATCCAGAAAAATAAAACAAGACAAATTATAATCAAGCAGAAGAAGTATATTATACGCTCAAATAACACTACACTTTCATATGAAATAGCAAGAATGATGATATGCAACAGAGCTTAAGTAAAATAATAATCAGTTGCAGATACATTTATAGCTTTCTTGTTCACAAGGGGTTAAAAGAAGTCTTAAATTTTACTTAAATGCCAGACTAGTGCTAACTGGTGCAATTTTCATGGCCCCTAGATGTTGCAACTTAATGTTTCTCTAAATTAAAAAATTTTACTGCCTTTAAATTCTGCCAATCTATTGTGCTGGCTCTACTGAAATGCGCTGCTGCTTGAAAGAATTGCAATTTGCAGTTATGTTAATTATTAAGATATTACAATGCACATACCTTAACCTTTTACTTCTTATTAGCAGCAGTATTCTCACTAAAATTGTGCAAAAAAAAAAAAAAAAAAAAAAAAAATTCTGGATCACAAAAGAAAAGACCAAATATTTTCTTAAAGCTTGAGTAAAATATTTCCTTATTTGTTTGTACATATGCTAAAAATTTATTTGATTAGCAGACTTTTGTTTCTGTCACATGCATAAAATAGTTCATGCTAAGTTAGTAAAAAAAATTTTTTAATAACTATACATAAAAAATCTTATCAGATGTCAAATTACAAAAATTCATTTGCAGTATTGATACAGAGCTTACCCAAGAACACATTTGAACCTTTATTATAAAAGCAATATTTCTCAGAATATTTATAATTAAAACCTACAAATATATTAATATTTCATTGATATTTACCCATCAATACTAACCATCTGCTTTTTTTTATAATTATGAGAAATTATTATTACTTTGATTATCTGTACCCCATGAAAAGTTACCAACTCACTGAACTTTTGTTTTGCTAGCAGCACTGTTTCTGTTACCAGGACCGGGTCTAGAAATGTATGGATGGATGTGTTCATGTATACATGTATATACGTACACACATATGTATCCACATGTGTACACACATACATACACATGTGCATATATATACAGATATACATAATTAAAGAAAAGAGAACAAACTAAAAAAGACCTTTGTGGTCAAAAACTTTGTGCATTGAGCTTCAAAATTTAGAAAAACAAGTTTTATATATATATACAGTCAAAAGTTGTTAATTTGAACATCCATAATCCAGACCTCAAAGCTACAAACTTTCTGCGCATGCGTCGCGTAAGACCTTTACGGCTGCGCATATGCGTGTGCGCATGCGCATAATACGTTTACACATGCTCGTTTAATGCGGACGGTATAAGCTAAAATTATCTAATTCAGTTAATGTTGCAGATTGCGTTGTTCCTTAATTTTCGAATTGGATCCGGCTTATTATTTTTTGCAGACTGTTAGAGCAATTTTATAAAAGTAAGCTTGAACTTTCGATTATGTCAAATAGAATTTCCGTACTGGAGCTCCCAAAGGCGAAAGTATGTTTCGATGTCCTTCAAACAAAAAGTGGAATTGCTACAAAAAATGGAATTGCTACAAAAAATGGATAAAGGCATATCCTTTGTTTCTCTAACCATTCCGAAATCTGTTTATCAATTTCATGCTGCTCTGCGGAGGGAAGGGGGGATGCTGCGGCGTGCAATGTATTGGAAGTTGATTTGTCAGCACTATCCTTATCTTCAGGGCAGATGTTTTTATTTTATTTTTCTTATAATTCCTTACTACATGTAATATTTCATCTCAATGTACTCCGTCTTTGATATGATTTAAATCATATTCCTCGTCATTATAATTCACTTTCGATAGTGAAGAAAGTAACACAGAGTTTATTGAAAACGAAAAAATTTCGATTGACAAATTAGTCGGTATTCTCGACACAGCAATTATAGGACTTGAACAGCGGAACTTTGTAACTGAACAAGAAATTATGTCTGTTTATAGAATTAAAGAGAAAGTATTATTACATAAAACAAAGCAACTTAAACAACTTACTTTGAAAGAAATGTTTAATAAAGTAAACAAAAAAAAAAAAAAAAAATATTAAGCTCTTTTTTTTTTTTTTTTTTAAATTTTGATACCCTTTAGATCATAATTGTTCTTTATTTCATAAATTACGGTTTCATATTTTTAATTTTATAATTTCTGCATGCCATCTTACTAGATTTAAACTGATGATCTATAATCCGGATTGTCGAAGTTCCGACGAGTCCGGATTAACAACTTTTGACTGTATACACACTTCTAAACCTGGTCGTGATAATAGAGTACCTTGCTCTTTACACCTGATAAATACAGTACAAAGTCCGCAATCCGGATGTCCATTATCCGGATCTCAAAGCCACAAACTTCACGCATGCGCGTAAAGAATGCGCATACATTACGCATAAATGTATGCTTTACGCATGTGCACGTTAAAAGAAATGTTTAATAAAGTAAACAAATAAATATTAAGCTTTTTTTGTAAAATTTGATACCCTTTAGATCATAATTGCTCTTTATTTCATAAATTATGGTTTCATATTTTTAATTACATAATTTCTGCATGCCATCTTATCAGATTTAAATTGATGATCTGTTATCCGGAAAAACCCCTAATCCGGAATTGCTGAAGTCCCGACAAGTCCGGATTACAGACTTTGTACTGTAGTATTCTGTTTATAAATAATAAGCAACATTTGGTTAATCTTTGGATTATGGTAACTTGGCAATTTTTTGGCTAAAATTTGGCAACCAACCCTGCTACAGCAACCTGCTAGTTTTGTTTTGGATGCCATTTTGTTTTCACGAAGTAAAGGCATGTTTTTTTTTTTTTTTTTTTTTTTTTTTTTAAACTCAACATTTTTCCCAATAATCTGCTAGCCTAATTACGCTTAGGCTCGAACATTTATGGAACAAAAGTGCTTAATCATGACGAAAATTAGGTGCGAAATTGGGAGAAAGTGCAGAATCGCCCACTGCTTGCCGCGTTTTTAATTTGTACATACATTGTATGCATGTACACGTCGACCTATTTTCACTTAAAAAAAATCCCAGAATTGCACAAAAATGGCATTGCACACACTCTTGACTTTATCCATGTACATTGCTAAAGCCCTAGCTAGTAACCTTTATCGCCTTACCAAAATGTTGCCAAACTACCTGTTACTATATTCCAAAGATTAGCCCAACATTTTATTAAAAAAGAAAGAACAGAAAAAACGACCAGCTATGGCCTTCAAAATAATCCTTTCTCTTTATTTCCAGGGTCTCCCACAAATAAGTAAACTGTTTCATATTTCATCAACCAGTGAACTCTACAGTTCCATTACAATTTATTACAACTCCTTATCCCCCAAAAAGCACTTCAAGGACGAACACTGATCAACAAAATTACAATTAAATATTAAGCACGTAAATCCAAGTGTATTCAAATGTGTGTGGCGTGCTACTGTCACAAATATACTTGAAAATATACTCAAAACCCAGCTATTCTACCTAATGTTGAAACTGAAAGTTCAGATCATCAGAAAGAAAAATATAAATGATACAGTATATGATGACCATTTCCCAAACTCTTCGTGGAATTAAACTTTAAAAATAATTCACAGTGTAAATAAGAAATAAAGGCTGATCTTTAGAATATGGTAACTGGTAGTTTGGCGACATTTTGGAGGCGATAAAGGTTACTACCTGGGACTTTGGTAATAATGTGAGCAGTACTCAGTTCCGATTACGCATTATTTTGTGTGAGGGAAATGAGAGATCATGGGATATGTCATGTGATATTAATGGACGAATTACGGTTCTTTAATCGGAAAAGGGGGGAAATCGGGAAAAAAATCTGGAAATTTTGTATTTGGCTTTATTCTGTGTTGTGTGAAACAGTGTTCGTTAATTTTTGGATCCCATGGCCCTAACTAAAGTGAATTCGAAATGGGTATTTAGTGAAAAGGGTTAAATAGTGTTTCTTTAAGGTTGTGTGCGAGATAGAAAGTAAAGATGTTTTATTAAGTTATTTATTTTACCTGGTACCTTGCTGTGAACTATAAGTATGATTTTAAAGATCCTGAAACAGAAATAAGAAAAGTTTATCGGACACG